CCGATATGCCAATGGCTTTAAAATTATCAAAAATCGGCCGATACATATCGGTGCATCCAATTATTTTCTCCGAAAACATTATTTAAAATAAATTAGAAACCATGGAGTAAGTTTACATTTCTTTTAAATATTTTGTGGTCAGCCATAGATGTAAGGTATAGGCTACATCAAATTAATTTCTGAGTTATTTGACTGAAATTTTCTTTCGACATGAAAACATCGAGTTAAGGCAAAAGATTTGTTTCAAGTCAGTTCAACATGATGCAGTCATGTTTGAATGGGAAACCTGATATAATGGTGTTAAATTAATGGACACCTATTATGCAAAATCCACTTTTACATGGTGTTTGGACATAAATGTGTGTTGTGCTTTTTATCACTTAATTAGAAGCACCAAAAATTTAATCATGTCATGTTATAGGGAATAATGAACAAACATTTAGAAGTATTTTTTTTTAAAGGCAAAGAAGGCATATTTAAAATTAAAATAAAGCTATGTAAACTTGCAATTTTATAACACTATAATCAGGCCTAATGAAAAGTTTGACATACACTTGTGGTCTTCATCCTCACTTGAACACTTCGGCCAAATACAGGAAACACGTCATATAGCCTAAGTTATCAAGTGCAAAGACCACACGTGTGGGTATTTGGAAAAAGCATGTGTCTCTGAAGCCTTTTTTTTTTGCGCACGCCGAAGTATACTTTGGCCTTGGGATCTGTTGGTTGATGTGTGAATATTCTCAATTAAACAATATCAAAAAGAAGTTTTGTTTTGTGTTGACATGTCTTACTGGTACAGGAATTTGTGGCACAGCATTTTAAAGGGCTCATCCTTTTAATTTTTTCATTTTAACCAAACTAGCATTTGAAGATCCATCAAAACATTCCAGATGTCTTACAGATTAGTACAAGAACAGCAGGTACATAAAATATGTTTACAGTGTGTAGATACAGTAAAGCATTATAAATAAGAGTAGAACATATGGCATACGGGGGGGGGCAAAACAACAAACAAAAGGACCCTCTAAATAGTTAGGGAGTAAAGCGGTCTAAACTGACAAAATAAAAGAAAGTTAACAACAGAAATGTGCACTAACTCCCTAGCTAAGCAAAAATGGGAGAAAAAAGATTCACAGAAATAAAATGGCACCCACCTCTCTACAGCTTCCAACACACAGGGTCACATAGCAAAACAACATCGCTAATGGCCTGTTCAAAAGGCTATAATAAGCCGTAACTTTACACAAGACCAATATCTATAACACAACAAACACAGGGCAGGCAAGAGGAACAACACTCTGGAAGACAAGCTTCAATATGGCAGACATGTTGAACAACATTTGAGTTTGCAGCCTCTGCCCAGTAATGAGCTACAGGTGCGAGCGATCACCTCCCTCTCCTCCACACCTGGTTGAGCAGCAGGTAACACACTGGACAACACAGAGAGAGAGAGAGAGAGAGAGAGAGAGAGAGAAGAGAGAAGAGAGAGAGAGAGAGAGAGAAAACGCACCACAGCACACATAATCCAACATTATATAAATAACCACGGAATGTAACTTGGCCACAAAATAAAGGTGTTGACAAAATTACTTCATTGCTGCCCAAAACATATTATCACTTTCCACAAGTTAACAGGTTGTTAGGTTGTTAACACATTAAACCGAACACATCCATTCCTGGTCTTTTTTATCTATACCCTTTATATACTGAAATCTTGTTTCTCTGCTGAAGTTGATGCATTGTTTTGTTTTCAAAGTCTCCACCATGAGGGCCGCCTTTAAAGTGAGTGCGAGTTCTGTCAAAGTAATGATGCCAGGTTCCAGTACTTGAAGCCCCAAACCCAAAGACATTCACCTGTGTAAGAGACAGAGCAGTTTTGTTATTTCATGGTGTTCAAATCATACTTCTCCTAAAGGTGCATTTAGTAATTTTTCTCAATAAAAATGTTACCAAATGATACAGAACTTCATTTGTTGATCACTTCCTAAATGCTGCATGCATTTGTCATTTTGAAACATTCTAGCATCAAGACGCACACATCTCACAGAAACATGATACATTTGTTGTGGGTGGACCAAGATCATTTTGATAAGATCATCCTTATGTCATGGCCACGAGTTTAAGCATAACCATAGCATTGATTGATAGGGTTGATTATCTGCGCATGCTACTCCCGAAATTTGTTAATAAAACATCACATATTATAACATTTGTTGTTGCCAATTTGGCTACATTCCACTCCAGTTTTAGACACGCACTCGCAAACATCCCTAAGCACTTCCCCTTTAGGAAGTGCCATCTTCAGCGAGGCAAAATAAGGGACACCCATTCACGCCCAGTGACACCACCTCCAAAAAAACAAAAAACAAGGACACAAATAATCAGTGAGGAACTCATAGCTCAACAATAAACCATGAGAAAACATGCTCAAGTATGTGCACTTGCAACAGAACACATTAATATTGTTATTTTAAATTTGATTACTTATAATTATTATTAGTCTTTTTTGACAGTTGTGCAGCTGTTACCTGGATGGGATGAATTTTTATTCGTTTTTTTATTATTCATTTGCTTAAATTAGGACTACATTATTATGTAATTATTTGTCCCATTTTTTAAAATCTAATTTAGCATTTTTAAAAAACTTTTTAAAATGCCAAATTGTATATGACATGATTATTTATTATGTAAATATTTATGATTATTTTAAATGAAAAAAAAAATAGGGTCTAACATTAATTATAGTCTATTAATTCATCTGTCTAATAATGTCTAAAATGTAATAATTATGTCTACCAAGCTCTGATAACGTATGGAATATATTAACAGACAATACAAATTTTAATAAAACAATAGGCCTATACCTTTAGAAGCACAGATGTGTCAGTCACTTTAAAGGTATGGTTCACCCAAAAATGAACATTCTGTCATAATTTACCCAGGTTGTACTAAACCTGCATAAAGTTCTTTCTTTTGCTGAACACAAAAGATGCTGCTTTGAAGAATGTGGGTAACTAGCTTCTGAAAAAAATACCATCAGAATCATTGGGGACCAGAAACTGTTTGGTTACCCACATTCTTCAAAGCAGTGACGTGCACAGACTTCCGGAGGGACAGGGGCTAAGCAATGTTTCTAGGGCACAAACGCGGTCTGGGCGGGATAGAAATCGCGGTCCGGGGGCACACAGACCGGACCGAAAGGCCACTTTAGCGGCAGCGATTAAAGGGGCAGGGGCTTTTATAATAATAATAATAATAATAATGTTTCTTGAACAGCAAATCAGCATATTAGAACGATTTCTAAAGGATCATGTGACACTAATGATGCTGAAAATTCATCACAGGAATAAATTACATTACATTACGTTATTTTAAATAGCAAAAATATTTCACAATATTACTGCTCTTGCTGTACTTTGTATCAAATAAATGCAGGCTTGGTGAGCAGAAGAGACTTCTTTAATAAAAACATTAACAATTTTACTGTTCAAAAACTTTTGACTGGTAGTATATTTGTATGAAATATAGGTTTGTTAAATCTAGGGTATTTAAAGGTGACATATTATGCCCCTTTTTACAATATGTAATATAAGTCTCTGGTGTCCCCAGAATGTGTCTGTGAAGTTTCAGCTCAAAATACTCCACAGATCATTTATTATATCATTTTGAAAATGCCTATTTTGAGTGGAAGCAGAAACAAGCTGTTTTTCGGGCCTGTTTCTTTAAATGCAAAAGAGCTGCTGCTCCTCGCCCCCTTTTCCAGAATAGAGCTGAGCCATTACAGCTCGGACCTGCTAAAAACATCTGTTTTGGTTCTGATTATCATGTTTATCACGCTGAAATCATGCGTTTTAAACCATATGAGTTTAAACTTCAGATATAAGGTTTTATGAGTGCACACGGACAGAAAGCGGCTGTCACAGCATGTGAGTACTAAACTAAGTTCTCTTTCACACACAAGTTTATGTTAAAAACACACATGAGTTACAAAAACAGTTGGTAATGTCGGTGAAGGTAAACAGCTGGGAAATAAATCGCTTTATTTTAGATCTGTGTGGCAGCAGCAAATATACAGTAGCCCAAATAAATCAATAAATCCACTGCTCTCTTGTCTCCTCTGAGGCTGGGGCTGTAAATAGTGTTATGTGCTCATCTGTGCAGACAAAGACAGAACAGTTAGCATGTTTTGCTCAAACTTTCGCCATAGCATTAGAGCCGGTACACCGTTGTCACTTGTGAAATCAAAATGACGGTGCCTTGAGTGGAAGTTTACAGATTAAGGGGCGGTAATATTATAATGAAAATCAGACGCGCTCGTTTTCTCAGACGCTTGCAGAAAAAGGCTTCCCAAAACAAAGTGATTGGGTTAATCTTTTTCACGTTTCCTTGGTTGGTAGATGCACCGGGGACCTGATTATAGCACTTAAAACCTGGAAAAGTCAAATTTTCATGATATGTCACCTTTAAGTAATTTGAAGATAAATAACATTCTGTGCTACAAATTGAAATGAGGCGGTTGTTTTCAACAAGGTGGACACAGTTCTGTTCATAACAGTAGACCTGCTGGTGAAGAAGTGAAAGGTAAGAAAAAAAGGGGGAAGGGGGCAGAGATATTGGGGAAAATGAAGAAAAGGGAAAGGGAAGTAAAGGTGCAGAGAGAACCTTTAATTATTTTCCACGGCCCCAGACTAAGGATTTTGACCTTTTTATGTGATAGCTAGGGTTGGGTATCGTTTGAATTTTATCGATTCAAATTCTGATTCTGTTTATCGATTCCGATTCTTATCGATTCCTAGTTTCGATTCCAATAAGATAAAAATTTGATATACTGATGTAGTTTTCTGCATATTGGTCGACAAATATGAAAGAAGTTTCAGTTTCGGCCCGGAACAACCTTTTCTACAGTGGAAATACACGGAACGGTTCGAGAACGGACACAAACCCGTACCGCAACCTCTGTTTTCTGTGCTCACACTTGCGCTTCACGCAAACAGTTTGTACAGTGTCCCAACTTTTTTGGAATCGGGTTTGTACAAAGCCTAGCCTATAATAAATCATATTTTAGCATCCAGATACATGACGAATATGGAAACATTTGTATTCGTGCCGAATAAGAGAGGTAGGGATCAGTTTCACCTGAAAGGTGCTGTATGTAGGATTGACACCGAGCGGTTGAACTAGGTATTGCAGTCCAAATTCAAAATATTAGAGAGGGTTTTTTTCACCCGGCCCCTCCTCCTCAGACTTGATGCACACACAGGTTGCCAGATTGACGACACCAACAAGAACGAGCGCACTTGATGATGAATGAAATTAAATACGCTGTGTTTTCCGCCAACTGGCAACCTGGGGTGTCGCAATACAATTGAGTAAACTGCCAGTGGGCCGGTTTCACAAACCAAAACCGAGACCGACATTCCGCCCGGAATGCACATTTTCAAAGAAGAATAACTGACTGTAGCATTGTACTATGTTGTATTCTGAATAAAATATTGAAATTTGAAACTTCCACATCATTGCATTCTGTTTTTATTCACAATTTGTACAGTGTCCCAACTTTTTTGGAATCGGGTTTGTACAAAGCCTAGCCTATAATAAATCATATTTTAGCATCCAGATACATGACGAATATGGAAACATTTGTATTCGTGCCGAATAAGAGAGGTAGGGATCAGTTTCACCTGAAAGGTGCTGTATGTAGGATTGACACCGAGCGGTTGAACTAGGTATTGCAGTCCAAATTCAAAATATTAGAGAGGGTTTTTTTCACCCGGCCCCTCCTCCTCAGACTTGATGCACACACAGGTTGCCAGATTGACGACACCAACAAGAACGAGCGCACTTGATGATGAATGAAATTAAATACGCTGTGTTTTCCGCCAACTGGCAACCTGGGGTGTCGCAATACAATTGAGTAAACTGCCAGTGGGCCGGTTTCACAAACCAAAACCGAGACCGACATTCCGCCCGGAATGCACATTTTCAAAGAAGAATAACTGACTGTAGCATTGTATTTCAGATAAACAAGTATGTTAACTTAGTATGTTTCTTAAATATCTGCAAACATATTATGGGATTTTTATGATTTAGTAGAGTCAAAAACTTACATTCAGCACCTTTAAAGGTGACAGGTCCCCGGTTCATCTACCAATCAAGGAAACGTGAAAAAGTTTAACCCAGTAACTTTGTTTTGGGAAGCCTTTTTCTGCAAACGTCTGAGAAAACGAGCACATCTGATTTCGCTCCCTTGGTGACGTGGCAAAGGGATCTCATTTTAATATTACCGCCCCTTAATCTGTAACTTTCTACCCACAGCACCATCATTTTAATTTCGCAAGCGACAACGGTGTACCAGCTCTAATGCCATGGCGAAAGTTTGAGCAAAACATACTAAGTGTTCTGCCTTTGTCTGCACAGACGAGCACAGAACACTGTTTAGATATAAAATAAACATGCGATTTATTTCCCAGCTGTATACCTTCACAGACATAACCGACTGTTTTTGTAACTCGTGTGTGTTTTTAAACGTAAACTTGTGTGTAAATGAGAACTTAGTTTAGTACTCGCATGCTGTGTGGTGGCCGCTTTCTGTCCATGTGCTTCGGATGTGTGCGCTCAGAAAATCATATATCAGAAGTTTAAACTCGCTTATTGCTTCAATAAGCTGGTCAGCAGAAGGAAGCATGAAGTGCTCCAAAATTTCTTGGTAAACGGGTGCAGTGACTTTGGGAAATTAAGGGAAATTAAGACCCCTTGCTTATCCAAGCAGAACACTGAGTCAGGCGGAGAAGAGGATGCCAAACTATAGCTCCATGAAGCTAGAGTTTCTTGCCCTGAAATGGGCGATGGCGGAGAAATTCCAAGAATATTGGCAGGGCCATAAGTTTATTGTCTGGACAGATAATAATCCTTTGAGTCATTTAAGCACTGCTAAACTTGGAGCAACAAAATTACGGTGGGCAGCAGAGTTGGAAGCGTTTGATTATACCATCCGGTATTGACCAGGTCGGGCCAATAGAAATGCAGATTCCTTGTCAAGACAGTACTCTGCTGATGGAGTATCCCTTGTGGATTAGGTACTCCCGGGAACTGCAGTTCCAGCACGTTTGGAGCAGGCTATTGGCCAGACACCAGTCATTGCTTCAACAAGATGATCCCGTAATCGGTGCATTTATTCATTTTTGGCAACATCAGAGGAGGCCAGATCACATGGAACGGCAAGTGTTGAGTAAGTCTGTGTTGGAATTGGTGCGACAATGGGACCGTCTGGTGGAGAGTGATAAGGTCTTGTACCGCAGAACCATTCGTCCAGATGGGGGAGAGGAGGTGCTACAGATAGTATTGCTAGAATAATTGCTAAAGCAGTTACACCGGGGGCACGGTCATCAAGGTATTGAGAGGACGACTGAGCTAGTGCATTCAAGGTGTTACTGGCCTGGAATGTACAAAGCAGCTAAAAAGTGGTGTGAGGAATGTGAACGTTGCACTTTGGCTAAACCAGTGGATCCTCCTGTGAAGGCACCGATGGGACATCTGGTTGCTGCACGACCAAATAAAATTCTCGCGATCGATTTTACTCTCCTGGAGCGTTCAAGGGATGGTAAGGAGCAAGTATAAATAATGACTGATGTTTTCTCAGTTTACGCAGGCAGTTCCAACTTATGACCAGAGAGTGTCCACTGTAGCGAATGTTCTGGTGAAGGAATGGTTTTGCCGGTTTGGAGTCCCAGCCCGCATTCACTCAGAACAGGGTTGAAGATTTGAAGGGGCATTGATACAACAACTTTGCGACCTGTATGGGATACAGAAGACACACACCACACCCTACCATCCCCAAGGCAATGGCCAATGTGAAAGGTTTAACTGGACACTGCATGGCCTCCTTTGTACACTTCCCAGGTCTGCAAAAGCTGAATGGCCTAATTATTTGCCTCAATTGTTGTTCTCTTATAATACCACCATACATCAGACAACAGGTGAGTGCCCACATTTTTTTAATGTATGGCCAAGAACCTAATTTACCAGTTGATTTCCTCCTTGGGAGAGTTTTACAGCCAACAGCAGTGACAGTAATGGATTAGATGGAGGAACTTCGGAAGCGTTTGCAAGTGGCTTTTGATGGTGCTCGGGAGAGGATTCAAGCGGCACCCAGACTGAGGAAGGAGAGGCATGATCAGAAGGGTTATAGCTGCTATTTGAAAGCTGCTGTTTTGTTTGATTCATTTTTGTCATTTAAACTTAGTTTATATTTATGGTTCTGATGATTTGTATTGCTGTTTATGTTTAATTGTTTTTGCTAGCTGAGTCTAGTTTTGACAACCGTTTAGGTTTGTTAATTCAAAACTCTGTGTTGTAGGAACCAGCCTGCATGGAGTGCTTTCCTCTGGGGTCGTCCGGGTTTCCCTTTCTTCACTGCATGGCGGTGTGAGATTTACTGCACTGCACGAGTTGAGAGTTGAGAGTGTAACGCTATTTGCATTATTCACTACACCTTTTTTAAAGCTGTTGGTTAATGATTTGTATATCAGTGCATGTGTAGTGTGTGCTCTTACGTCTGGGGGTCTGTGACCCCATGGTTCGCCCCCTTCCTCCAGCAGGCTTGGTAACCCTATATTTTAAGAATGGTGTGTTATGATTTTAATAATTGGCCTAAAGCCCAGATTTTTTAAGCGTGATTCCCTCTTTTTTAATACTATATTAAAGTTGATCATCCATCTAAATAATGCCTACTGCTTATTAATAAAAGTGTTGAACTTGAAGGTCACGTCTCTGTTCTTCCTTCATTTATGGGCCATTGAACTTGTGTTGCTGTGTTCAGTTATTTCCGTGGGTACAAAACCCCAGTGGCGTAGTCGGAATTTAGTGTGATCACAGAGTAGCGCTCGGTTACATCTAGAAAAGATGATGCTCTATTGGCTGTGACTAAGCGCAGTGGGTTATATACTAATGTTACCAGATCTCTTCCTGTTTTTTTTTCTTTTTCTTTTTGAGTAAAGAAAACGCTGTACTTTATTATTATTATTATTGGCAAAGAAAATTGTTTAAAAAAAATAACGTTATTAACCAGTATTTCGTCTACCCGAACCAGTTTTGGAACAGTAATACAGAGGAACGCAGGAACAGAAACGTTACAATATCGATTCTGCTCTGAGTGAACCGATTGAATTTTTTTTTTTTTCGTTTTCAAGCCCTGCCTACATATTAGTACCTTGAGGGTACGAATTACTACTCTAAGGTACTAATATGTACCTATTATGGATAAAAAAGGTACAAAGATGTCCTTTTAAGGGTACTACTCCAGTGACAAGCTGTTGTACCCAAAAAGGTAAAATTTTGACCCTTTTTTTCAGCGTGGCCTGGATGAGTGTGCGATATAAAGCCAGTGAATAAGCCAGCTAACATGCAGCACAATCTATATCTTCCATTCAATTTAAATATATTTTGTGGGTAATATACTAATGTTACCAGATCTCTTCCTGTTTTTTTTCTTTTTCTTTTTGAGTAAAGAAAACGCTGTACTTTATTATTATTATTATTGGCAAAGAAAATTGTTTTAAAAAAATAACGTTATTAACCAGTATTTCGTCTACCCGAACCAGTTTTGGAACAGTAATACAGAGGAACGCAGGAACAGAAACGTTACAATATCGATTCTGCTCTGAGTGAACCGATTGAATTTTTTTTTTTCGTTTTCAAGCCCTGCCTACATATTAGTACCTTGAGGGTACGAATTACTACTCTAAGGTACTAATATGTACCTATTATGGATAAAAAAGGTACAAAGATGTCCTTTTAAGGGTACTACTCCAGTGACAAGCTGTTGTACCCAAAAAGGTAAAATTTTGACCCTTTTTTTCAGCGTGGCCTGGATGAGTGTGCGATATAAAGCCAGTGAATAAGCCAGCTTAGTACCTTGAGGGTACGAATTACTACTCTAAGGTACTAATATGTACCTATTATGGATAAAAAAGGTACAAAGATGTCCTTTTAAGGGTACTACTCCAGTGACAAGCTGTTGTACCCAAAAAGGTACAATTTTGACCCTTTTTTTCAGCGTGGCCTGGATGAGTGTGCGATATATAGCCAGTGAATAAGCCAGCTAACATGCAGCACAATCTATATCTTCCATTCAATTTAAATATATTTTTTATACATTTTAATCGATACATTTTAGCGTGTCCTCAATTAGCGCCATTTTTGAAGAGTGCGCATGTGCATAAATGCCTAAGGGAACCCCGGAGTATGACGTAAGAGGAAACCCGCGATGAATCAAACATCAAATAAAGCAAAATGACAGGGAACAAACATAGTAAATTAGTCATCAGGCGCCATGTTCAATGCAGCAGCATCTCAGAAATCTTGATTCAATTAATTAGCAGAAGTTATTACTCCGCCACATGCATGTGACATCATTAAAAACGGCCCTAAATTATTGAACTAATGTGGTTCAAACGATGGAGATGCGACCGTGTTCGGGAAACAGTCGTGACTGGCTAGTAAGTTTCCACAACAATGCATCGCACTATGGTGGTTAATCATAGAGTTACATCGTTGTATGGGAAACACACCCCTGTACGGGACGCAGAGTTCAGTTCCAACCCTGATCAAACACACCTGTCTGTAATTATCAAGTGATCTTTCAGATCCTAATTAGTTGGTCCAGGTATGTTTGGTAAGGGTTGGAGCTGAACTTTGCAGGAAGGTAGATCTCCAGGAACAGGATTGGGCACCCCTGGCTTAGGACGTTTCAATTGACTTATCGGTAAGCCCCTCCCCTCGAACACAGATGAGCCAATGGCAGTCGAGTATCAGTTGCACGGGGAGTGGAACTCTGACATCTTTAGGTTTCAGCGCCATAGAGAAACATTGGAAGATCCGAAGCTCGCATCGGTTTGATGGTGTTTATGCAACAAAAATGGAAAAACGATGTGCCTGGTGTACTTGTAACACTGATTCCAGGTATCCTGAGAGGATGGGCAATATAATTTATTTTATTACATTTCCTAAATCCAAACAAAACAGAGCAAAATGTCCATAAGCATTCAACACTCCCTCTGACTTGTTTGTCAGAGGGAGCAACAGTAACTAAGGGGGGCGGGGCTTACCGATAGGTCAATTCAGTCCATTCCAAGGGTTCCGCCAGTAGTGGGCACTCATGCAACGTAATCAATGACGTACATCTGAGTAAACGAGTCAGAGGGAAGTTTGCGAGTGAAGGGCAATAGGGCATAAAAAATTGACTGGAACGCAGCCTTTGTTGGATACTGACTCTGCTCTCAACCTGATTGTAATGCAAAACATGACTGGTTTGAGTGATAGCGTGCTACAGTTGGTCAGCACTATGTGGCTGTTATCTGATTGGCTTAAGCAGATGGTGGGCAGAGTCTACCTATTTGTGGATTAGTGTGCATCTTGATGCTAGAAATGTTTTAAAATCCACAAATGTGTGCAGCAATGCACAGATCCAAAGAAATGTACAGGAAACCCACAAATGAATGCCAGGCAATGTTGTGTTTGTAACATAAAACATATCTGTGGATACTTTGATGTTATTTAAAAAGAAGGCAATTGTTAAGATCAACTTTTGTATGCACATGCTAATTATTTTAGGGCCACTTTTAGGGAAATTAATAGGCAAATATTCACATTTCTGCTTTATGTGCACCCTTGGCTTTGTTTTCTAATATGTCATGTGCATTTCACAAACTTAACGTCTGTTTATATAATTAGAAGTCTAAACTGAAAATGCAAACAGTTTTACCTGATCACAGATATGCAAGGCAAATATTATTGTAATGAAGCCAGTAGATGGATATCTGCCATGTTTCAGAAGCCATTTCTCATAGACGTATTTTATGAAAGCAGGGTGGAGGACCATCACCTAAACAGAAACAAAAACATTTATGAGACATACACCACTGCTTATTTTAAGGTTTAATAATCAGTCTCGAATTTAATTTACATTCATTTAATGACATTGGATACTCACCTTGTTCTCATCTGCTTTGATTGAAGGTTTGACTCGTGTGTAGGTGCTGAGGAACAAAAAGATGGCTTACTAATTATGCAGATATATATAATTATTTCATATTTATTTCATTGTTTTTTTAAACCGTGCTCACCGTGTGATGTGTCTTGTGGTGAAGGTACTTATAAGCCATTGCATATCGCGAATCTTAAAGGGAAAAAGCACCAGATGGGTGGAGTTGTCCAAGTCCATGGCGCTTTCAGGGTACAGAATCCGGTGAGTCGTCTTTGACCCCACATCCCTCTCGTAACCTTTTGTCGGGCCTTTATTTATCCTGAGAGAACAATACAAGTAACAGGTGTTCATAGGCTATCTAAAGAACTACTGTTATAGAGAATATTTATCAGATTATTGTGTGTATTATTTTGTTCTTCTAGTAGGCCTACCTGATCACAATATCATGGAAATCTATGAGAGACCCATAATGGGATCCCAGAAGGTTTGCAGAGTTTCCCACCACAGCACAGGTTCTGCAGCGATCTGGACCGGCGTCTGAGTAGTGCTCTTCGTCAGGGAAGAGAGAAAACATCTGATCCACCACCTTCGTGTAGTTGACTCTGAACATTGATGGTTGTAGACCCTGTACAGATATTTGAAAGCTCAAGATAAGCATCAATGAAAATGGTCTTGTTAAAACTGGTTTAGTGACATCGTGTGAAGCCCATCAAGATAAGACAGTTGATTTGTATCTTCATTTTCACATGAGAATTTCAACATGACTCTATGGGGCCATTTACACGACAACGTTTTCAGCCAAAAATTGAAAACTTTTTATGCGTTTTGCCTGTTCGTTTACACGACAACGGCGTTTTGGGGACCAATACAAGTAACAGGTGTTCATAGGCTATCTAAAGAACTACTGTTATAGAGAATATTTATCAGATTATTGTGTGTATTATTTTGTTCTTCTAGTAGGCCTACCTGATCACAATATCATGGAAATCTATGAGAGACCCATAATGGGATCCCAGAAGGTTTGCAGAGTTTCCCACCACAGCACAGGTTCTGCAGCGATCTGGACCGGCGTCTGAGTAGTGCTCTTCGTCAGGGAAGAGAGAAAACATCTGATCCACCACCTTCGTGTAGTTGACTCTGAACATTGATGGTTGTAGACCCTGTACAGATATTTGAAAGCTCAAGATAAGCATCAATGAAAATGGTCTTGTTAAAACTGGTTTACATAATAGTGACATCGTGTGAAGCCCATCAAGATAAGACAGTTGATTTGTATCTTCATTTTCACATGAGAATTTCAACATGACTCTATGGGGCCATTTACACGACAACGTTTTCAGCCAAAAATGGAAAACTTTTTATGCGTTTTGCCTGTTCGTTTACACGACAACGGCGTTTTGGGGACTGAAAACGCATATTTTTGAAAATGTGTTTCAAAGTGCAAGTTTTTGATCTCTTCTTCAGCAAAGTGTGGATTTACTTCAGCAATATTACAACCAACAGCGGAGACGCATCATATACAACATATAATCATCACTTCCCTACAGGTACTGTTCTGTACTAACAAGGTGACAGCGCCAAATATTGGCCTGGCATATGTAATACAGCGTTTTTGGAAACGTTGTTGTGTATATATTAAACTTTTTTAAAACGCAAGGGAAAAACTTTTCCGTTTTTGACTACATCGTTGGTGTGTAAACATAGGGCATTCCTCACCTGATGGCATGAGTAATTTTAGTAAGCTAATTCATGATGTTTATGTGCTGTTATTAAGATGTATATGCATGGCCGTTTCTAGGCATAGGCGAGCTAGGCGGTCGCCTAGGGTGCCACCAGCTGAAGGGGCGCCAATGAGCGCACG